AAAGAAGAAAGCTTAGCAATAGTGTCTAAAATGGAAAAGTAGTGTGAGGAACAGGAGCAAAGTAGAAATAGCTACTACATATCTCTCTTAATCATGGGAACTAAGAGATTAGGATGATATTTTTTTCAGATTTAGCTTTTGTTTTTTATATCTTTATTTTTATAATTGTAATTAGGCCAATTTTAAATTAGAAACAAGCTTCTTTTACACGTCAATCTCAGTTCCCTCTCCCTCCTCTCCTCCTCTTCCCCCCCACCCTGTATCCCAAACCCTTTCTGCTCCCCAGGGAGGGCAAGGCCTTCCATAGGGGAATCTTCAAAATCTGTCATATCATTTGGATCAGGGCCTAGACCCTCCCCCATGTCTCTAGGCTAAGAGAGTATCCCTCTATGTAGAGTGGGCTCCCAAAGTTAATTTGTGTACTAGGGATAAATACTGATCTACTACCAGAAGCCCCATAGGTTGTCCAGACCTCCAAACTGACATCCTCGTTCAGGTCTGGAACAGTCCTATGTTGGTTTCCCAGCTATCAGTCTAGGGTCCATGAGCAAGCCCTTGCTCGGGTCAACTGTTTCTGTGGGTTTTTCCATCCTGGTCTTGACCCCTTTGCTCATTACTCTGTAACTAGATTCTAGAGTCCATGTCAGTGTTTAGCTGTGGGTGTCTGCTTCTGCTTCCATCAGCTACTGGATGATGTCTCTAGGATGGCATATCTGCTGGTGTGCTAAGAAACGTGCATTCAAACTTCAGAGATTCTTAACCTCTTCTGGTTCTCCTGACAGTGCAGGACTGCACTGCTATACCTATACCTGATTGTAGGAGATGCTTTGAAAAATCTTCCTTTATCCAATTTTAGTAGCCTTAACTAATTCCCCTTCAACCCTGTCTTTGTGATATCCATCAATTAAAAAAACAAAAGCAAAAGCCAACAAACAAAACACCTGTGAGACCTTGAGTATGTGTCACCTTGACACTTTATTCTCACATTCATAATCTATAAACAAGCAAAGGAGCAATGACTCAATAATTTACTTCATTTATGTGAATTCTATAGATGTTGAAATGCCCAGTTTGTTTATGACACATCAACTGAAAAACAGAAACGAATTTGTAAATGCTCAGTGTATGATGGGCTGGAAAATACACAAGCAGCATAGAGAAAAATAATATTCCATCCTATTTATATTTTAAAACAGGTGGATTTGTTGGAATTGTTATAAAGAAAGAATTAGCATTAAGACACAGTCAGGTCCTAAAATTCCAACCTCCTACCACACAGGCTGATAAATTTCCCACTCTCTGTTATAAATGGTCAGGAGGTAGTTTGGCACCTGTCTCTGACCCGGTGCAAATCCACATGAGCTTCCATGATTTGGCCATCTTACAGTTAGGGTCACAAGGCCAGATAAACTGGTAAGTCTTCTTTCCACAAAGTAAATTTATGGACTGAATTTTCTTTTGCAGCAGAGAGGACCAAGGGCTTAATGTATTCAGTAAAGCATTCTGCCACTGAGCCACATATTAAGTCATATAGTTATTTGTCTTACAATATCTTCCCTTCTCCAAAATCATTGTGAGGAATTGTAGAACCTACTGTCTTTGTCAAGGCAAGCAGATGTATTAATACACTAAATAGGGGAAAGGGAACCTGCGGTGGAGAAGTGGCACATATATAGTGAGAGCATCTGCAAGGGTATATCTGTAATCTTCCAGAAAATCCAGACAAACCCATGCTCTTGCTATACCATTCTCTCCCCAAAGTTCATAATTCACTTCCTATATTGAGCCCACAAGAAAATAAAGGCATAGGCTCCCAACTATGCTATAGAAACAGTGGTCATAAAAGATTTGGGGCAGCATGATCAGGCCTCATGTCCTCAGATCAGTCTGGAAGCAAAGTACTAACTTCCAGTTACCCTATGATTTCATGACAAATATTTAAATCACCTCAGAGCTGAAACTCCCCAACAAATCTTTCCTACAAAGAAAGGAACAGCGCCTTCCCTCCTAAGTCAAACAAACCACCCCCTCTTGATTTTCAGAACCCACCACACATTGAAAACAAAGTAAACTTAGCATTTTCAATGCATCAGAAACTTCAAAAGACTACTCCAGGCTGAAGAAACAGAGAACCATATTTCCTTTTTTCCAGTCTAGCCTAGGGAGTTACACTCAGCTATTTCCAGCTCATGTGCCTGGGACTGTGAGATAAGAAGTGATTACAAAGTGGAGTGACTGTCCATGTTGACAATTACTAGTTTTATCAAGTGTGTATCTGCCTTTTGTTACCCAATTAAGAAAAACTATATTGCTTTTATGTGATCCATTCCAAGGTACATTCAAATCAGCCCTCAACAATGCAGGACAGGCATTGCCATATACAAATATTTCCCCATATTTGTCATTCAGGTATATTAACATGAGTAGAGAATTTTGAATATCCTGCATAGGAGTGCTCAAGAATTGTAAAATGAGTTTGGTCAGTTGCAGAAAACCTGAGATTATTTCCCGGTATTGACAGAAGATGAAACTTGTAGAAGGAAAAGTTACAAGGTAGTTTCTCTAATTAGTTAGTGATGTAATGGTCCCAACTTAGGATTCTACAAGTTGAGCTTTGGTTTGCATATTTCAAAAGGTCCCTGGGTCCTCCCATTTCCCTTATTTTCCTGTTTAGACATCAGCCCCTGGAGAAATGAAGATTTCTCCGAGAAATATCTCCCAGAAATAAGAATTCACTATGTCAGTTAGCTTAATTCTGCTTTACCTGTATAACTAAGTCTCTGCAAGTCCTTTAATTGTGCCATTGCTGGAATACCTATACCACTCATTAAAGAGAGCCAAAGAATGTAGGAACAGAAACAGGGATGATGTAAGAGCAATGAAATATGGAAGGGAGGTAGGAAATAGATATGGCTATTGTACGGCAAACTCCCAGAAAAGACTGCATACGTCCTTTACTATCAGGTGTACATAAATTCTATCAAGGAAGGGAAGGATATACGGAGGTCCTATTATATGATGAGGGATATTTCAATTCAATAGATGTAACAGAGAGAATATTACAGTTGGGGGAACAATGTTTGAATAATGCCAGTGTCCTAGTGAAAGACCTAACCGTCACATGCATATGAGGAGCAATAATTGGACCCAGTGGGTTTAAAATAGATAAATGTGTACTTGAAGTTTGGGGGCATAATTTTGATGATGTCTCCATGATTTATTGGAGTGGGCCACAGATATAGATTTATGGAAGGTGGGTGTCATAGCATATGTGAGAAAAACATGTCCTATCCAAATGTGCAAAACATGACTTGGATAGGATAGTAAAGTTAGATCTCCTTATGATACATGTTATATTAATCCAGTTACTCTAGAGAACTCTGACTAAATACACAGTGATTATTTGTGCAAATAGAGATAGACAAATCTACAAGTAAGATCACAGCATCTGTGTCTTTTGATAAATTTCCACTAGTGTCATCATTTTTATATGTTGGTTCTAAAGATGATATCAATCAAGACATATTGACCCCTGAATTACACCTTTATAATCCATAGTAAATTTACTATGTTGCTTTGCTTTCAAATGCACATGGAAACTACTCACAATCTTCCTGTGGATCATAGCCAGGCTCTTGGCCATAGTCAGCATGTGGTTGCCCTTCAGTTTCTCTTCCTGACCATTAAGGATGAATTTACTGATTAATAATTGAAATCTTTTAAGAACTAAAATAAATTTGTGTAAATATACATATGCAATAATATTTCCACATAATTCTAAAGCATGATTTTGATCCTAAAACCTGTCAAATGGCTCACAAGGATGTCTCAATAGTCATATTAATATAATGTAATAAAACAAAAAGTGGCTGTAGGGAGGATTAAGTAAAGTGCACGGCTGACTGTATTGTAGCATTTGGAGAAATTTCAGATTTTCTTTGTTGGTTAATGCACTGCAAGTATACTCAAAATATTTAATTCATGTTCAATCAGAAATTTAATTCCACAAAAGTATTCCAAAGAGCAATATAGGGAGACAGCTGACACAGACTTCTTAACTCCAGGCCCATGATCACACTGTTGTACAAGCCAGCACAACGCAAACAATTATACACACTCAGAAACACACTGTTTAACACCTCACAGTTCAAAAACAAACAGGAATATTTTAAACTGTTGATAGTGAGTTCCTGAGTGAATTTTCTTTGTTTTGCATGGGGAGTAACATACCAAGGAACACAAAACCTGAGGTCTATATGATTTTGAAAGCCTTCCCAAGGTGAGTGTCAGTGGAACCTCAAAAATTTCTTAGTTGACAGTGTATGTAGAAACTCTCAAACATGGCTTCTTCCTCCCAGGATAATTGCAGCCTGAGATGCTACAGAAACCTCTTCCCTAGGTTAGCTAAACCTGCCTCCTTGTTGATCTTATCCCATAGATTAGCTCCTTGTATATATGTTTACAATAAACTGCTTCCATGATCCAGATGCATAAAATAAATGCTTTGAGGTAGCTTGCAAAGTTGATATTCTCCATCAGAGCAAGCAGAGCCCACTTAATCCAAACTTTATTTCCATATATCTGTCCTTGCCTCATTCCCTTGTCCTCTCAGCTACATTAGTGCCGAACAGGCAGAAAACATGCTTAACACTATAATATGATATGACAAAATTAAGGAGATATCTGTTCAAGCAGTATGCCAGTGGGTGGCAAGCTGAGGGCATTCAAGCCATAACATACATGTCCTCCGTAGAGATACCCCATGACAGAGCATACTCTGTGTGGTTTATACACAATTCTCCTGGGATTACCAAACTTTCCATTCATTATCTCATTTATAAGTACTAATAAAATCCTACTTCTAAAATAACAACAACCATCATCAACAGCAACAGAAAGAAATTGAGAATATATACCATGTAGAAAGAGATGTTATACATTCAATGGAGTAAAATGTTTTCAAATCACATGAATGTTAAGTTACCAGATGAATGTCTTACCTGAATAACACATCTAAATATCTAAATAAATAGGCATTTCTCCAAAGATGATACAGCACACTGAAAGAAACATATTTTTTCAATATTTTTATCATAGAGAAATACAAATCTAAACAACTTGAAACAGACTATACAAATCTAACAGGAAAACTATTAATTAGACAAGCTAATTTACTTTGAAGCAAACAAATATGTGATGATATAAAGTTAAACATACCATTCCTGTTTTCAAAAAAAAAAACTAGTACTGGAATTATTTTGTGTAACTGCTTTTTCTCCTTTAAAATTATGCAGACTCATCTATCAAATGCCATAGTATAATAAAACATGTTTTAGGAAAACTCTCTCCAAGTTAACAAAATCATGTTTTTGGCACCCTTACCTTTCTTAGCAGGCTTAATATACTAACTATTGAAAAATAGGGCAAAAATCCTTGAGAATGTTCAGGTCTCTACCTTCTACAGCTTCTTCAAAATGACCAATCCCAACAACTGTGAATTATCCCATAGTACTAAGCTCCTAAATAAAATCATATACAAGTTGGCAGTTGCTCCAGTGAGCCTTGTTACAAATGTCCATGAAAAAGAGAATGGAAACTCTCACTTAATACCATGGGAACTCCTGGACTTATGCTTTACTGGTTCAAAATTATTACAAAAAAGAAGCCTTTGAGTAAAGGAATACAAAATAATAAAGGGGATCTTGCTCAGCTACAGATTATCCTCCCTCACATTTTTATATCTATATGTACTTCTAGCAACATAGTCTCAGTTTTCACTATTAATGCATCATTCTGGGAGGCACGCATATTCTTGTATTGTTACTTGTGATATGCTGTTTTATTGTATCAAAATTGACCATCAGGTCATACACTAAATTCTCCCTCTCTTTCAAATGCTCCACACAATGGAATAGGAGATGCAAAACCAACAGGTCATATGTAAAATATGCAATTGATAAACATTTTGTGATTGAAAGGAACAACTCAGATAAAGTGTATATACACAAATGACATACCACACCAAAGTTATTTTTGGAAAATTAAATTGTTTAAGATTGAGAAGGATATCTGGCAGGTAAATTTCTTTTCTTTCAATGGGAGTGTAGAACACTAGTATGACACCACACAGAAACACCTCACTGTTAAAGATTTTCTAATGACTTTACTGAACTCATTGGGAATAATTAGCAGATAAACTATCAGAACTATTGTTTGCCAAAGCATAGTTATAATTTAAACCTGACTGTTTAATCCCCATTGGAAAGTGGACATCTGACAGCCTTGATGACAAAACACAAGATTACTGTTATAACTTCTTTGATCACAAATGGCCTTGGGTGACAAGTAACAAGACCTGGATAGTGACTAAAAAATTTAAGACTCTCAGAGAACCTCAGGGTGGGGTGCATTGAGAATTGCCCCTGCCATGCAGTTCTTCACAGAGGTACTTCAAGTGATTATAAGGAATAAAACATACCTGGTCTCTATCAGAAAAAGCTTTTCAAAGTGAATCATCTTCCTTGTAGATGATAAAGGATTCATGGACTGTGGCAGGGATGGCAGACCTTAATGTAAAAGCCATGGCTTCAGAGTCAGTGGCATGATTCCTGCATAGGAAAAAGGAGCACATGACTCAGGAGTGTGGAGAATCCCAGCCAGTCCCCATCGTTGCTCAGTTTCCAGTGGTCCTGTTTCCTGCATATCACAGGAATATCCTTTATTCTCTGGAGCAGCATGCTGTCAGGCTTCAGCTAGAATTGGTACCAACTGAAAACTGGATGTTAGCTATAAGCCTTACTGGCAAACCCCCAGAAGCACAGATTTTTCTTATCTGTTTGCCTCTAATTGGAGGATCCTGTACATTTAACTGGAAAATGGGTTAAGAACAAATCATTAAAGAGGTCTCAAACTTAGGCACTGAAAGAAACAAAACTACAATGGTCTTGTAGATCTCCATCAGAGCTTCTGATTCAGGGAAATTTAAAGGAAAAGAAAATAAAATGTAATTTACCATGAGCTCTGGAACCATTAACAATAGACAAAACCATCCACCAATAACTTGGAGCTAACCATGTATCTGGCTGCTTGGTACTAGACGCTATCTATAGACAAGAAAGCCTCCAACTTTCCTAGTACATTTCTGGTTGTGAATCTAGGCTGCCAAGTGCAGATTTCTCTCAAATCTTTGTGATCTTCCTGTGTCAGTTTCCCCACATACTAGATTAAATGGTTGATATATAACCCCACATAAAGTAAAATTAAATAAGAAAAGCTGCTTTCAAGCACTGCTCCAAATATACCAAATTAGCATACTTTACTCAGAGTGCCATAATTATAGAGAAATCATTTCACCCATACTTGTTTTTTTAGCTTAAAGTATATGTATATTCTCAAGAATTCTCTGTGTGTACAAGTTTATAGGTGTGGATGTAGACATGTATGCATGAGGTGACAATCATTTTTATTTCTCAGGTACAACTGATTTCATAAAATATTTTATTCAACACTAGTATGTGAATACTGTGTGTTTGGAAAATTCAACGCATTCTCTACACTAGAATTCCTCTACAATCACTTCTATCACTACTCCATTTGAATTTCATATACTGTTTCTCTCTTTAATAAAAAGCTGAGTTCATTTAAGGTTCCAGAGTGTAGAATATGTGTAGCT